TATATTTTTATCTTAAGATATATATATATCTTAAAAGAAATAAATCTTAAGATAGAAATTTATATATAATCTTTATATCACATACAAATCTTAGGATAAATACACAGTATATAGATAGATGATAGTTGTAGATGGATGGATGGATGGATGGATGGATGGATAGATGAGAGATGACAGATAGATAGATAGATGATAGATAGATAGATAGATGATAGATAGATGATAGATAGATAGATGATAGATAGATAGATGATAGATAGATAGATAGATAGATAGATAGATAGATAGATGATAGATAATGAATAGGTGATAGAGCTCGATGCTATTAGTTCTGTTTCCCTGGAGAACCCTGGCTGATACAGAGGTAAAGTATCATTCCTTTCTCCTTGAACCCCGGGCTGTCCTCTGTGACTCCGGGGACTTGCAAATCTAGGTTGTAGGAAGCCTTGTGACTTTCTTCTAGCCCCTTGGAACACACCTGCTTGGATTTAGCTGCCATGTTAAGAGGAAGCCCAGGCAACTCCCTGGAGAGGCCCCACATTGAGAGTAACTAAGGACCCCAGCCAACAGCCAGCATATTCCAAATTGCCAGCCACGAGAGTGAGCCACCTTGGATGTGGATCTTCTAGCCTCAGAAGAGCTGCCCCAGCTGACACCTCATTGAGTAGAGAGAACTGCCCCAGTTTTCTGCCCAAATCATAGCGAGCAAACTAAAGTTGGCCAGTTTAAGCTACTAAACTTCCTGGCTGTTCGTTATACAATAACGACTAACTAGAACAAATACATTTCCTAACATTGGGAATCCTTTTAAAAAATGGTCATGTGTGCAAAAATGTTTGTATGTACATTGAAAAATGTTCACATATGCAATTTTTTTCAAACTGAAAAAAAAAATCACACCAAACTGCTGGGCTGGGGGTAGAGAGCAGAAGCCACCATGGGAAAATTTCCTTTTTAAATGTCTATACTTGCATAAACAAAAGCATGATTCCATTTCTACACTTGCATTTTTTTTTTTTACCTCAAGCCAATGTAATATTTGGAAAGAGAGGATTTAAATGAATAAAGTACTTATAACAACCCACCCTGGCTTACAGTCAGTACCAGGAATGTGTTTGCCATTATTTCCATTATTTTATAAGAGAACGAGGACATGAGCACCAGCCAGGAGCCTTGGGTGTCTCTGGTGCACATATCAGGGACTTTACTGGTTGTGAATGCCACCCCCCCGCAATTCATTCCCTTGGTCCTTAGCAAGGAGGAAGCTCTCGGGGGGAGCAAGTGCCAGGGTCAGATGGCCCATGGTCAAAGCTCATCTTTGCCACTCTCCAGCTGTGTGACCTTGGGCAAGTGACTTGCCCTGTCTGAGCCTCAGGTTCCTTCTTCGTAAAAAATGGCATAGTAATAGGCTTGTGGGGATTGGAGGAGTGACTTGTGTGTCTTGGTTTTGTTTTTCCCAGAAGTAGACTCTAATGCAAGGCTTCGAGTACAAAAACAAAAACTGTATTCGGAGACAGGAATTCAACTGCAAATTGTTCCTTTGGGAAGTGACCCCAGGAGATACCAGTAGGGCAGTGTGACTGAGTGAGAGAGAGAAGAGAAGGCAGCAGGGAAACGGGGCTTTGTCAAGGAAGTTCCCACTTGGGGCAGCTGGGGCTCAGTCCCTCTGGGGATCTCTGGGAGACAGCAGAGAACAGGCACCCACCAGTCGTTACTCAGGGCCACTGCCAAGGGCATTATTTCTCCAGAATGTCCTACCAGCTGCAACAGGGTGCAGTTTGGACAGTGGCCTGATGTGGACACTTACAGTTGTTCAGTGAGTGAGGTTCTCCCTCCTGTCTTCCCAATACACCCACACACAGTCTCACCCCCACACTCACACTCATAGATACATGTATACTCACAAACGCACACATGTGTGCACACACACAATCTCATGCACACATGTACTCACACAGTGCACCCACATTCCACAATTGCACACGTACACACACTCACATGCACGTATGGTCACTCACGTGCATACATCCACACACTTACTCACACACATGTGCACATACCCAAACATACAGTCACACGCACACACCCTCATACACACGTTGGACTAATGGAGACCAGACGCCGTAGAGCTTGTTGTCCCTCAACCGTCCAGCAGAGGGAGCCTCCGACACACTCAGGAGAGGAAGGAGACCCACAGCAACCAGTGACTGGCCCAGGCCTGCCTGTGTCTGAAGAATCGGACACGCAGATGCAGCAGGTCCCGGGGATCCACAGGCCCCATGCCTCCCCTCCTCCCTCCCTCATTCACTCACCATCACCGACCTTAGCGGAAAGTTAATATGCATGAGAAGCATGATGAAAAATCCACCTGGCAAAGGAGAACCGAGGTGCAGAAAGGGCCAGTCACGTGCCCAAGGCCACCGCTAGAAAGGGGGCAGAGCGGGGGTTTGAACCCACATATGTCGCCTCCCAAGACCAAGTTTGTTTTGCTGGAGGATGAGTGGCCTCAGACGGGGGATTCCGCGGCCGACGATCCCAGCACACGCCACCCGGGGGCGCCGCAGGACACACACCGCTGTGGCCTCCAGCACCACTCCTCCTGGCTTTGACTTCTCTCCACGCCCCCGCACCCACCCCGCTCCACCCACGCCTGCCGACACCCCCTTATAGGCAAAGCGAGGCGAGGGTCCCAGACCAGCACTAGAAGCCTGGGGGGGTAAGCCACCCCTCTGAGGCCACGCTATGAGGACACTGTCGTTGGACCTTGGGTGAATCATCTCACTCTAGGGAACTTCGTTTCCACCTCCACTAAACGAGATAATGACAGTACCCATCTCATAATAACAGTACCCGTGAGAATTACGTGCGAATATTTGGAGGGCACAAAGGAAGCTCTCAACCAACTTTAAATCTCATTATGGTTATATCAGCTTTGGAGACCTGGAGACCCGGAAGGCTTGGTCCTGAAACCCCTCCATCTTGGACGCACACGGGCGTACATGGGAGAGCGCGCGCGCGCGCACACACACACACACACACAGGGATTGCACTAGTCTTGGGGCTTTTTAAACAATCACCTAAGTGCTGAGGTATTCCAAATGTATATCACCAGCCCGGAACTCCCTCCCGAATTCAAGACCTGCCTATCCAACAGCCCACTTGACATCTCCAACTCCTCCTGGCCTAAACTGACATGCTGATCTCAGTCCCTCACCGCCCCCCCCCAAAAAAAACCTTTACTCTATTAAGCATTCTCCATCTCAAGGTGTCACTTCTATCTTTCCAGGGGCTCAGACCCAAACCCAGGGTCCTCCCTTTCTCCTGAATCCCTCATTCAAAGTATCAGCAAACCTGCCAGCTCTACCTTCATAAAGCACCCTGTCATCAGAATCCAAGCACCTGTCTTTGCTCTACAGCCCCCAGCTTGCTTGGAGTCATTGTCATCTCTCACCTGGACAAATCTGGTCACCCCATCTGATCTCCCTAGTCCCGTCTTCACTTCACAGCCTCTATTCAACATAGCAACCAAAGACTGTATGACAAATTTTGTCCCTCCTCTGCCCAGAACCCTCCATGGCTCCCTATTTCTGTCACAGTAAAATCAGTGGACTCCAAGGCTCTGTGTAACCTGCTCCTATCCCCTGCCTGCCCTCATCTCTTTCCATGCTCCTCCTGCAGCCACACTGATCTCCTCAATGCCCCCTAAACACCCCAAGCTTGTTCCTACCTCAGGGCCTTTGCACTGTTTCTCTCTACCTCGAACATTCTTCTCCCAAATATCCACATGGCTCCTGCCCTGTCCTATCTAAAGTCTTTGTTGAAGTGACCCCTTCTCAGTGAGGGTTTCACTGACGATTGAACAACTTCTCTCCCCACCAGCATTACTGAACACCCCCCAACACTTACCCAGCTCAATTTTTTCATAGCACTTATCACTTCTCTCACACAGGCCAATGAAGTCACCCCATCTGGTCTCCCTAATCTGACCCTTGCTTTTCCACTTAGCAGCCAAAAGAATACTATAAAGACCAAATGACAAATCTTTTGCTCTGCTCAGAACCCTCCCATGGCTCCCCATTTCTGTCACAATAAAAGTCAAAATCCTCCAAGGCCCTGTGTGAATTTACTTTCTTTGCTTATTTTTTATTCATCATCTGTTAACCCCCCCCCCCACCCCTGCAGCAAATGTTAATTATGTAAGGGCTCAAATATGGCCTGGCTCACAGTAGATGCTCAATAAATATTTGATGAATTAATACAATTATTGTAGATACCATCACCGCCCCATCTTCTGTATCATCATGTCAGGGACTATGCTGTCATCAGTTCCCCCAGTCAGAGGCCTGGGAATCACCCTCACCTCCTCCCTCACCTCAGCCCCCGCGGCTAGATGGTCACCCCTCCTGTCCTGCAGACCTCAGTCTCCCTCTTCCCCAGATTTCCAGTTCCCAGTGCCCCCCCTTCCGAGCCACCTCCCTGCCAGCCCACATCTGACCATGTCCTGTCCTGCCCCCTACTCATATACCCTTTATAGCTCCCTACTGCCCTCAGAATAAGTGAGATGTGGCCCGCAGTTCCTGGCAGTTGGCCCCTGACCAACTTTCCTCCATTCTGCCCCCCTGCCCAGATCCAGCCACCCTGGAGTGGTGTTCCTCGAGAACACCACACTCTCCCTCACCTGGGGACTTTTGCAGATGCTGTTCCTCCCGCCTGACATGCTCTTCTCTCCCTTGTCACCACTCAGCTTGTACCCTCACTTCAGCATCGGAGAAGCTCTCCCTGAGCCACCCCCTGTTGTGTTCGCAGAGCACCAGGGCTTCTCATTCGGAGCACTTGTCGTGGATTATAAATAAACTTACATGTGGAATTATTTGTACAACATCTGTCCCCTGTTCTCCCGAGGGCAGGAATTGGGCCCAGCTGTGCTCTTGGCCCAGTGCCAATGAACACTTAATTAATATGTGGTCTGTTGATGAGGTAAATGAATGCACAAACTGTCCCAAAAAGCCTGAGTTTATGTCTGAGGGCAAACAGCTTCCCAGCCTCCTAGCCCATAGCTTCCCTCACGTACCTCCCAACAGCCCAGGGACCTTCATTTCCTTCCTGGGCCCCAACGGAAGTGTCTGGCTGAGCTAGGGGGTGAACGATGGGGGACGTCTGCATCCCTTGCTTTTATTCTACAAAAATCAGGACACTCAGCGAAGGGCCTTTCAGCAAGGGAGGAAGGAAGGGGCTTGTGAGGGAGGGTCTAGATTTACAAACAGCAGAAGCACACATCCTGAGCCCTGGGATGCAGCCAGATGCCAGAGGAGTTCGCCCAAATGAGCTAGGAGCCTCAAGAAGGTGATGTCCGGGCTCAGGGCTCTAAATTCGGGCTCTAGCTCCCAAGTCCTCAACTTGGAAGGCAGCCGGAATCCACGGGGGTACTGGTCCCGAATCCCAGAGGCCTTAGGTGTTGGGTCTTAAGTCCTTGGGTGGCTGGCTGGATGGGGCCTGAGGCCCTGAATGCTCTGGATCCTGGGAGGGGTCTGGGCCCAAGATTTGGCCAAGCCTGATCCTTCAAGCAGGAGAGCCGGAACGGGCCCTCAGGGGACAGGACCTGGACCTCAAGGGGCGGGACCAGACCGCCAGGAGGCGGAGCCTTGTCGTGAGGGGCGTGGCTTGCACCGTCAGGCTTCTCCACGGAGGAGCTGGTCCTCTGGGAACCGAACGTGAACTTCGAGGGGTGTGGTTTCTGCCCTCAGGATCTTGGGGGCGGGGCCTGGGCCCTCGGGGGCGGGGCCTGGGCCTCTCCGGGCGGGGCTTGGGCCCCCGGAGTTCCGCAGGGAAGCGCCAGCGCTCAGGCCCGCGGAGGCAGCGGCTCCACGTTGAGCCAGATGCCGTTCTCCGTGCGCAGGATGAGCTCGGGCTTCCGCCGCACCTTGCGCGTTCGGTCCACGCTCAGGCGGAAGCGCAGCAGCGTCAGCGCCACGGCCACGCGCATCTCAGCCATGGCAAAGCTCTGTCCGATGCAGTTCCTAGAGGAAGGGGCACCGGGGTGGGGCTCAGCTCAGCGGCTGTGTTAGCCAGGAAGGGGGGAGTCCCGGGGTAAATGACCTCCCCCTCTGAGCCTCAGTTCCCTCCTCTGTAAAATGGGGGCAGCGGCATCAGAGTCGTTGGGAGCATATGAGCCCAGAACTCAGGGCCTGGCACACAGTAGTTGCTCAATACCCAGGGATACTATCACAGAGTCTGATTAGGGGACATCCTGGTACACTGAAAGCATGAAGAGGGTGCCGGGTTGGCAGAAAGCACATCTGGGTGGGAGGTGGTCTCTGCTCCTGATCGGCACATCCCTGACCTTCCACTGGCCTCGGTGACCCTCCTATGCTTGGCTTGGACTGAGGGAAATAGAAGAGTTACCTGGGTCCTGCGGAGAATGGCACGTAGGCCAGTGGGGAGCGCTGCTGTGGGTTGTCCGGGTCAAAGCGATAGGGGTTGTACACCTAGGCAGGATTAGCCTGGGGGTGAGTCTGGGGGCCTGGCCCAGTCATCACAGCTTGGCCCCCATCCTTCGGCTGGACAGAGAGAACCTCACTACAATCCAGCCACACCCTCTTCTTTCTGTTGTTCAAGCATGCCAGGCTCATTACAACCACCGGGCCTTTGCACTTCTTGTCTCCTCTGCCTGGAACAGGCTTCTCCCTGCTCTTCACACTTTTCAGGTCTCAGCTCAAATATCTCTTCCTCCCCAACGCCTTTCTTCACCACTTGAGCTAAAGTGCCCCCCACCCCACTCCAGTTTTTATTTCCTCTGTGCATGTATCAATAACAACAATGATAGATTTTGCTTATTTTCTTCCCCTGAACTTAAACCATGAGCTCCATGAGGGCAAAGGCAGTAACTTCCTCTGTCCTCAGTGCCCAGCACAGAGGCTGGCACACAGGAGGTGTTCAATAAATATTTGTGGACCTAATGAATCAACAGTGAGTGAATGGATGGGGGAGGGGCACTCAAGCTCCCTACCCAGCCAGGCCATCTGGGTCCCTGGGGAGCAGAGTAGGGAGGCCTCACCACCCCAGGACCACCCCTTCTGAGGAGGAAGAAGCTGAGGGAATGGAGAATTGAGGCAGGGGCTCACCTTGGAGTCAGGCCACACGGTGGGGTTGTGGTGGGTCCCATAGATGCTGACCAGGCAGATAATTCCTGTCGGGAGGGTGGGGTCAGTGGGGCCATTGGAGCTGAGGGGAACCAGGGCCTTCTCTGAAGACCTCCTCCTTCCCTGCTCTTCCTGGAGCCATGCTGTTCCCATGAGCCATCTGCTACTCTTTCCTGCCCATCCTTCTCTGAAAAATTCTGCTGCTGTGTCCACTCCGCTGCTGCTCCCTAAAGGGTTCCCGTCACCTTTCTAGCTGCCATGCTGGCCACACAGGGATCTTTCTCACTCACATATCTGACATTGTTCCTCCTCAGCTCAAATACCTCCCTTGGCTCCCTACTATCCTGAAGATCAAGTTCAAATGCCTCAACCTAGCATTCAAGGTCTTTCACTACCTGCACCCTGAGACTCTGCTCCATAAATATGCTCTCTCTTTCACTTTCAACCTCCAAGGCTCATCGCTCATGTTGCCTCTTCTAAGCAGCCCTCCCTGCATTTCACCCCAGATGAAGTCATTGCTCCTTATTTTGGGCTGTTCCAGCCCCTGTTCCTCCCTTTAGCCCATCCTTAACCCCATGTGACTGGGATGTCTGTGCCCTGCTGTGTCTCCCTCAGACTGGGTGGTACTCAAGGCCTGGGTCTGGGAACGAGGCCTCTCTAGATCTCCAGCATCACTTGGGCTTAGTCTCCAAGGGGTATCTGGCAACTGAATGAAACCGTCCCTCCCCTACCTGCACCCTCCTGGGGCCCATGCTGCCACACCCACTCTTGCCTTTCCACCTGAACTCACCCATCTCTGTCTACCCCCTACACAGCTGGGTCTCCTCCCTCCTCCCAGAAGCAAGAGCCTCACAGAGAGTTGCCCCATCTACAGGGAGGGTGCACCTGGGGCAGGCATGACCAGGCCCCCCTAGGCAGCAGAGCAGCCCAGCGGCCGGGTGGACATCATGGGCACCTTTGGGGATGATGCGCCCATCTGGAAGCTTGATGTCCTCCGTGCAGCGGCGGGAGACCAAGGTCACTGGCGGGAACTGGCGTAGGCTTTCCTTGATGCACATGGTGGTGAAGGGCAGCTGAGTCAGGTCATCCCTGGGAAGCATGGAACATGGAATGGTGGGTGACTTGGGGCCAGGCCACAGCAACAAATAACCCCTTCCCCAAACACACGCACAAACACACACATGCCCATGCACATGCACATGCATTCAGAAGCAACCAGACAGGAAACCAGTCCAGGATCTCAAACTTGCCCCAACTTCCCGCATTTGTAGTTGGGGCATGCTCATATCACTAATCCTCAGCGTGCAAAATATCTGACCCGCAACCAATCAGAGCAGCACCAGCAGGCTTCTGCACGCCCAGCATTAACCCTTTAACTGATGAATAATGTCAGAGGACAGCTGGGAGGGGTGCCAGGATAGGCAGGGGGGCCCGGGGCCGCAGCAGTTTACCTGCCTGTATGGATCAATTTCAGTATTTAAAAACCCATACATCCTCTCCTTATGCTATTATTAACTTTGTTCCATTGGACTCCAGGGCTCCAAATTGGATGAATTATAACCCTTGGTCCATGATCTGGATCATTTTCTTTCTCTTTCAAAGAAATTTTATGTCGCTACCTTAAAGGGCAAACAGCATGCCTGGGATAAAAGTACCCATAACATAGACACCACTGGGAAAACAGAAGAGTTATTAAATTCTAGCTAGTCCTCAGAAACTGAGCCATCTTATCCCTTCATTAAAAAGGCAGATTCAGGGGACGCCTGGGTAGTTCAGTTGGTTAAGCATCTGCCTTCAGCTCACGTCATGATCCCAGGGTCCTGGGATCCAATCCCTCATCGGGCTCCTTGCTCAGCAGGGAGCCTGCTTCTCCCTCTGCCTGCCCCTCCCCTTGCTTGTGCTCTCTCTTTCTCTGATAAATAAATAAAATCTTTTTTAAAAGGCGGGGGGGGCAGATTCGCAAGGAGTTCAAGATACAACGGCATCCAACTGAGAGTGTCTTTCTAATATCAAAATCTAAAAGGTGGACACTGAACAGAAAAGAGTTTTCTTTCTCAGTGTTGGATGCTATGTATTCCTGTGTTTCCTTTGAGACACCCAGAATCAGCTCTACATGGCACGTATCTAAAGTAAATTGGATTATTTTTCCCAATTCTTCACTCCCCCCCCACCCCACACCTGTGTTTGAATTATACACCCCGTGCGCTCTGTATGTGATTCTGCAGTGTCTTCTGCTCAGGTGAGTGGAATGTATGTCCTGTCCCATTCATGCTGGACTTGGCCCTGTGATTTGCTTTAGCTAAATGGAATGTTACAATGCAAGTAGAGGTTTTAAACTGTGGCTCTTTGTGCTTTGGGAATCTGCCTTGAGAAGAATGTGCCCGGGGTAGCTGCTGGTTCAAGGAGAATGAGGAGACATGTGGAACAGACCTGAACCCACACATCTGTTTGGATGCCACCCCATTCAACAACACCCTGCAGGAGCAAGAGTAATATACAGGCAAGAGCAAGAAATGTGTGCAGACCAGAGCAAGAAATAAATGCGAGCTCTAGACTCAACCTGCTGCTACCATCCCCCCGACCCCAAACCGACCACTCCAGCTCTTCCAGCTCCCGGCCTTTCATGACTTCCTGGATCTCTTCCCGGCACTTCTCCTGGTACTCTGGATACTTGGCCAAGTTGAAGAGCACCCACGAGAGCCCACTGGATGTTGTGTCGTGACCTGGAGGCAGAGGAGGAGTTCAAATAGAGGCTGCCTGAAGACAGCGAAGATGCAATTTTCAGACAACGGGGCCCCGCCTGGCCTCTCCCAGCCTCACCCCACGTCCTCACCTTCAAACATAAAGGTGTCCGCCTCAGCTCGGATGTCCTCATCGGACAGTTCCTTCCCATCTTCATCCTGGGATGAGCCGGAGAGGACACTCAGCCCACTTCATCCCACCCTCCACATCCCAAGGCTCCTCTGAAGTCAAGGTATCAGCCCCTCTCTCAAGCCAAGCTGTAGGGGGAAGGATTCCAGGCAGACAGAGGTATGTAGCTTGTCTAAGAAAGATGGAAAGCGGGGTGCCTGGGGGGCTCAGATGGTTAAGCATCTGCCTTCGGCTCAGGTCATGATCCCAGGTCCTGGGATCGAACCCCGCATTGGGCTCCCTGCTCAGCGAGGAGCCTGCTTCTCCCTCTCCCTCTGCCTCTCTCCCTGCTCATGCTCTCTCTCTCTCTGTATCTCTGTGTCTCAAATGAATAAATAAAATCTTCAAAAAAAAAAAAAGAAAGAAAGATGGAAAGTGGGAGGGAGAGTGAAAGGCGAAGGGAAGAAGGGAGTTTGTGTTTCTTGAGCAGCTACTAACACCAGAGAGCCTGCTGGATGCCCAGCCACGATCTGCAATCACACCTCGTGACCATCATGTCATAAATGGGGAAACTGAGGCTCAGAGGGGAGAGTCAGATGCCTAAGGTCAAGCATCCACTAAGCTGCAGGGCCAGAACTGGAACGCAGGACTGTCTGAATCCAGAACCCAAGCACTGCTCAGAAATTCCACAGAAGCAATGTCTGCAACTGCCACATTTCTTCAAAGTCTTGTTATTTCATCATCATAAGTCTGGTGGGCAACATTGCACCCCCGCCCCCGCCTCCAGAACGCATATGGTGAAGTCCTAACACCCCAGGAACTCAGAATGTGACCGTATTTGGAGACAGGGCCTTTAGAGAGGTAATTCAATTATAATGAGGTCCTTAGGGTGGGCCCTAGCCCCACATGACTGGTGTCCTTAGAAGAAGAGGAAATTTACACAGAGTCACAAGCAGAGGGAAGACAATGTGAAGACACGTGAGAAGGCACCATCTACAAGCCAGGGAGAGAGGCCTCAGAAGAAGCCGACCTGGTCAACACCCTGACCTCAGACTTCCAGTCTCCAGAACCTTGAGAAAATTAATTTGTGGTTTAACTCCCCCAGTCTGGAGCACTTTGTTATGGCAACCCTAGCAAACTAAAACAGTAAGTCTTACGCGTGCTGCACCTGCCTGCATCCCAGATCTATGTTACTTTGCACCTTGATCATTTTACATCATCGGTGCAATTCGCGAGGAGGCCGACCGGGGCCGGGCTCCACCCTCCAGGGCCCAGCCTCACCCGCGCCAGGAGCAGCACATCGATGAAGTCCAAGGTCTTGCCCTGCTTGCCCTTCAGCCAGGCCTCAGCCCCCTGCTGGCGGAGTGCCCGCCGCCGCTCCTGGATGACCTCCGTGGTGAAGCGGTGCACGGTGTCACAGGCCTGCCGGAATCGCCGCCCATCTGCCGTGAGGTGGTAGATGAAGTCTATGTGGTGATGCAGGCGATACTGACGCCTGACCACCAGGGCACTCAGCTCAATGATGGCCGAGATGTAATCGCTCATCTTCCTGTGGGGGAAGGGAGGGAAAAATGAAACAAGACGAAACCAGAGAGGGAGACAAACTATAAGAGACTCTTTTTTTTTTTTTTAAGATTTTATTTATTTATTTGAGAGAGAGAATGAGATAGAGCATGAAAGGGTCAGAGGGAGAAGCAGACCCCCCGCGGAGCAGGGAGCCCGATGCGGGACTCGATGCGGGACTCCAGGATCATGACCTGAGCCGAAGGCAGTTGCTCAACCGACTGAGCCACCCAGGCGCCCTATAAGAGACTCTTAATCTCAGGAAACAAACTGAGGCTTGCTGGAGTGGAGGGGCGTAGGCGGGATGGGGTGGCTGGGTGATGGACATTGGGGAGGGTATGTGCTATGGTGAGTGATGTGAATTGTGTAAGACTGATGAATCACAGACCTGTACCCCTGAAACAAATAATACATTATATGTTAAATAAATAAATAAAATAAAATAGGCCCAAAGGATTAAGACTTCCAAATAGACATAGCATCACTAAGACTAAATGCCTACAAGCCACAGAGTGGGAGAACTCCTATTCCTGATGGCGAACTTGTATCTAAAATATAGAAAGAGCTCTTAAAATGCAATAAGAGACAAATAACCCAATTTAAAAATGGGCAGAGCATATGAATAGACATTTCTCCAAAGAAGATATACAAATGGCCAAACAGCACATGAAAAGATACTTAACAACACTAGTCGCTAGGGAAATGCAAATCAAAACCACAATGAGATGCCGCTTCACCCTAACTAAGAATGGCTAGAACCAAAAAGACAGATAATTGCAAGTGTTTAAAAAAATAATAACAAGTGTTGGTAAGGGTGTGGACAAATCGGAGCCCTCACACACTCTGTATTATAGAAATATAAAATGGCACATCTACTTTGGGGAAAATGTCTAGCAGTTCCTCAAAATCTAAACAAAGATTATCACATAACCCAGCAATTCCACTCCTAGGTACAGACTTAAAAAATCAAAAACATCTGTTCACACAAACATTCATACACCAATGTTTACATAATAGACAAAAAGTGGAAACAACCCAAATGTCCATCAGTAGATGAATGAATAAACAAAATGTGGTATTATGTGGTAAATGGAATATTATTCAGCAACCTAAACAATGAAATATTGACACAGGCCACAGCATGGATGAATCTTGAAAACATGCTGACCAAACAAAACCAGACACAGAAGTCTGTATCATTCCATCAGTATGAAATTTCCATAATAGACAAATCTATGGCAGCAGAAGGAAGGTTCGCGATTGCTTACACCGGGAGAAGTGGGAAGTGGGGGTGAGTGCTAAAATGTACAGGGCTTATCTTTGGTGAAAATATTTTAAAACTGATTATGGTGATGGTCGCACAACTATGTGAATATACTAGAAACCATTGGATTGTATATTTTAAATGGGTGAATCATACGGTATGTGAATTACATCTCAGTAAAACTCTTATTGAAAAAAAAACATACAATGGGAGGGATGGGGTGGCTGGGTGATAGACATTGGGGAGGGTGTGTGCTTGGTGAGCGCTGTGAAGTGTGCAAGACTGTTGAATCACAGATCTGTACCTCTGAAGAAAATAATACATTATATGTTAAAAAAAAAAAAAAAGAAGAAGATAGCAGGAGGGGAAGAATGAAGCAGGGGAAATAAGATGGGGAGACGAACCATGAGAGATGATGGACTCTGAAAAACAAACTGAGGGTTCTAGAGGGGAGGGGTTGGGGGGATGGGTTAGCCTGGTGATGGGTATTGAGAAGGGCACGTTCTGCATGGAGCACTGGGTGTTATGCACAAACAATGAATCATGGAACACTACATCAAAAACTAATGATGTAATGTATGGGGATTAACATAACATAATAAAAAAATGCTTTTATTAAAAACAAACAAACAAACAAATAAAGGGGTGCCTGGGTGGCACAGTTGGTTAAGTATCTGACTCTTGGTTTTGGCTCAGGTCCTGATCTCAGGGTCATGAGAGCAAGCCCTGCATCAGGTCCCACACTCAGTATGGAGTCTGCTTAAGATTCTCTCTCCCTCTTCCTCTGCCCCTCCATCCCCCCTACCCCCCCTACCCTGTGCTTGCTCTCGCACTCTCTCTCTCAAATAAATAAATACATCTTAAAAAAAAAAAATGAAATAATCACTGGGACAGGTGTGCAAGGGGCTGTCCTTGGTCCTGAAGTATGCTTGTTTTCATACACTTGTCACAGTCTGTCATTTCTTGTTTATTTGTGCATGGTTACTGCCTTTCTTCCCACCAACACATAAATTCCAGAGGAGCAAGACCTTGACTATTTTGTTGACCACTGTATTCATAGTGCCTAGTCCAAGAGTGGTGCATAGTAGGCACTCAGTAAATATTTCCAGATTAATTAATTAACTAATCAATCACAAAGGCCATCTCCACCTTACCCAACTGAAGCATAACCCTACAAAGCCCAGAGTAACAAAGTCAGCAGCTTATTATTAATGACCTACTATGTGCTACAAACTTGCCATTTATGATGTCTCTTATTCGATATATACCCACTTAGACTATAAATTCCAAGGTACTAAGTTCTGTCGCTCATCACCATATTCCCAGTAGCTAACATAGTATCAGGCACATAGTAGGAACACAACAAATATCTGATGAATGAATGAATGAACCAGGACAATGGTCATCTTATTCATTCATTCAACAAATATTCATTGAGCACCTACTGTGTGCCAGGGCACTGTGGCATCATTTTATTCTTTTTTAAAGCACAAAGTGTTATTTATTTAGAGTAGGAGCATGGGGGAGGGGCATAGGGAGAGGGACAGAGAGAATCTCAAGCAGGCTCTGCAAGCACAGAGCCCAACATGGGGCTTGATCCCACAGCCCTGTATTCATGACTCAGGCGAAAATCAAGAGTCAGAAGCTTAACCGACCTAGCCACCCAAGCGCCCTGACATCATTTTATTCTTAAAACATCTCTCAGAGGGTTAAGGATTGTCATCCTTGTTTTACAAAAAAGGACACTGAGGCTCAGAAAATGGGGAGACACTTTCCAAAGGCCAAACTACTCTTCATGGAGCAATGAGGGAAACTACCTTTTATCAAGCACCTACTATATGAAAAACCATCAACTTACATTATCTCAATACTCACACCATGGCTATGGGGAAGGAATTGGGGTTCCATATTTGGAGAAGGAGATATGCTCAGAGAGGTGATGTCAGTTTTCAGAAACACACAGCCCATCAGTGGCAGAGTACCAATAGCCCCGGGATGCCTAACACCTGAGAGTTTCCTTTCTTCTCCCACCACCTTGCCCTAGAGCAATGGCCTCTATCTTCCCCAGGGAGGCCACACTCACTCCTGGCAGTTGCTGTTGTGGCTGAAGACACATTTCTGAAGACTGTCCAGGGTCATGAGGCTGACATGCTCAAACATGTCAAGGGAGACCACTGAGCCCTGTGCCAGGCGCCGCCATTTACCCTGGAAGAGAAAGAGACACATGGCAAATTGACATGGACACCGCAGACTTTAAGCCAGGCTGCCAATGACCTAGCTGCCTGCTTACCATAAGCCCACTTTATAGGGTAAAGGAAGTGAAGCTTCCTGACATCACCCAGCTTACCCATGAGTCGGAGCCTGGACCAATCTCACTCCCAGGACACCCTCTTCCCAAGAAACCTTGCGACTCACATGCATGATGTCAGTGCACTGGTTGAAGATCTTCATGTAGGGCTTCAGGATGTCGAAGTGGAAGGCAGGTGTCAGCAGGCGGCGGTGGCGGCTCCATTTGTCACCTTTGCTCAGCAGCAGCCCATCTCCTGGGCCCAGAAGACTGAGATTAGGGGCCTCTCCTATTACTCTGAAACCCTACAAGAAACCCCACTCCTCTTCCCCAAAGCCCCAGCCCACTCACCCACTCCCACACTCACCTAGCCAAGGTTTCAGGAAACCATAGAAAAGGTCATCCTTGGGGGCGATGGCAGCTATGGAGAGAGAAGAGTTGGTGGTGACTCAAAACAGAGTTCTGACCCTTGACCTCTGCTTATGACCCCCTTGGGCCTCCTCTCTGAGCTCTGACCTCCACCTCACCCCTCCAGTTCCTCCTCTATACCTGCCCCAGAAAGATCCTTATAACATGCTGATCTGAACATGAGCCTCCCCTGCTCAGACACCTCCCATGGCTCCCTATCACTCTGGTAAGAAAGTTCAAGCTCAGGCTAGCACTGAAGGCCCTGCCCCATCTTGCCCCTGTACGTCTCTCCCACCTCACCCATCAACATACACCAAATAACCCCACATGCTGGCCCTCCATCCAAACCTGTGCTCTCCATCCAGGATGGCCCTCTTCACCCTAATCACTCTTCTTTTCTGCCAACTCAGGCCATCTGAATTACACCTCCTGTGCTCTCCGTCTCCAGTCTGCCCTGCACTCTGGTCCCAGGAGGTCTTATCAGATGTTAGATCTGACCATGTCCCTTCCTACTCACACCCATTAGCCGCAACAACAGCTGCTCAGACCATTTTCAAAGTCTTGAATCATCTACCCCAGTCCAGACCTCTCTCAAAACATCTCCATCCTCCATTCTCTACATGCTCAATCTTCTAACATCACAGAATTTTCTCATCTCCTTGAAAAAGTCACATTCTCTCTCTGCTCCAGGTCTTTCTACCACATGCCCTCTCTGCCTCAAACACTCCCCCTTATCCTTCTCTGCTTGGATGCTATCCCTCCTCCACCAGTCCCTCTAGGCTGTATCCATCCAGTTACAGGCCCCTTGAGAGGAGGGACCACGTTGATCACTGATAATGTGGTTTTTAGAGAGGGAGAGAGGAAGGAGGACCAGAGGGAGAGGGAGAGACAATCTTTTTTTTAACGATTTTTGTATTTGGGAGAGAGAGAGCAGGGGAGAAGCAGAGGAAGAGGGACAAGTGGACTCCACACTGAGCACAGAGCCCAACACAGGGCTTGATCCCACAACCCTGAGATCATGACCTGAGCTAAAGTCAAGAGTCGGACAATCAACCAACTGAGCCACCCAGGCGCCCTGGGAGAGAAATCTTAAGCAGGCTCCATGCCCAGCACAGAGCCCAACGTGGGGCTCGATCTCACAACCCTGAGATCATGACCTGAGCTGAAATCAAGAATCAAATGCTTAACCAACTGAGCCACCCAGGCACTCCTAGTGTTAAATAACTTTTTTATTGAATGAACCAACCAAAGGATGAATGAATGCAAAAATGGATTGGTGGATAGATGGATGGGTGAGTGAGTGAATTCCCTTTCTGTGTTGAGCAGACTTGGGACAGAATGGACAGGGGCCCAGAAAGGAAGTACCTGAAACTCAAGTGATGTCACTTTTATCTGAGATGTGACTCAGCCACCTACACACACAGTAGCTAGGAATTGCCCAATTGTGCACACAGTCATCTGTCCACTCATCCTCCCATTCAGAACATCTCTTCTACCATCTTCCTTTACCCAACCCATGCTGGGCAATGCTGGGGACCAGAGATGGCTCAGCTCCACACCCTGCCTGGAGGAGCTCCAGGTGGGGTGAGAAAGGGAAGCAGAGGCACGCCATACAATTATCTAGAAGATAGAAGGTATGCCAGAAGCAAAGGGAGGCACAGAAAAAGGGCTGCTGGAAGTCAAGGCAGGCTTCCAGGAAGAGGCAGCATTGGAGAAGAAGGTAGAATTCTGGTCACTCCTTTACTCTCTGGGATCTGGACTCCAGCCTAGGCCCTTTGAAGGTCTTTCTGATATACAGACCTGTTCAATGGCTGTCCTATTTAAACACCTCCCATCATTCCTTAACGCCCCCAGGGTAAAACACAAGCTCATTTGCTTTGCACATAGGTGCTCTGAGTCTACCTCCTGTCTCATCGCCTACTCCTCCCCACACATCATCTTCCCTCCGGACACCCCAAGTCACCTGAACTCCCCTGGTACTTTCACACATCTGCACCTTTGTCCTGGTAGAACGCTCCACCTAAGACTCAGTCTGGCAAACTCCAAACATCCTTCAAGGCCCAGCTTCACCGACACCTCCTCCAGGAAGTCTCCCCAGCTGAACTCTTGTTCTCCCATCCTCAGGTCCTTACTCCACTTCAACTCTGACCACTTGATTCCAGGAGAGTCTGTGTCCAGGCTGCCTTTCCCATTTTAAGTGTCCCCTTCAGTAAAAAGGGGATGGTAACATCTACCCTGGATGAGGTCATATAAGAAAAGGCCCTACCCAGTGCCCAGCAGGAAAGTCCATATCACTGTGGTTGAGTCCATATCACTAGGTTCAAATCCCAGCCCTACCACTAACTCCATGTGTAAACCTGGGCACGTTAGCCCTCTGTCCCTCCACTTCCTCATCTGCCACAGGAGAAACAGAACAACCCTGCCTGCCTCGTAGCATCCCTACAAAAACTCATTGAGCTAATATGTTCCTGGCACATGGCAGGTGCTCATTAAATATTTGTACGCACAAATGAATAATTAACCAACTGCTGGCTATTTTTATAACTATGACTATAATTATTGGTCACTGATGTCAAGAACTTGTGAGATGAATATCTGCGTCTCCAGCCCCCAGCAAGCCCCTACTGGTGAAAAATAAATGCCTAGCCATCGTGGAAAGCAGTTTGGTGGTTCCTTAAAAAGTTAAAGGTAGAATTCCCATATGGCCCTGCATTTCTACTCCTCAGTATCTACCCAGGAGAGATGAAAACATACATGCATGTTCATAGCATCATTTGTAATAGCCCAAAGGTAGAAACAACCCAAATAACTGTCAGTGGAGGAGTGGATAAACAAATGTGGTATATCCATATATCCAGACAATGGAATATTACTCAGCCTTAAAAAGGAATAAAGACCTGGTCATCGCTACTCTGTGGATGAACCTCAGAAACGTTTTGCTGAGTGAAAGAAGTCAGTCGCAAAAGACCACATTGTGTATAATTCCTTTCCTATGATATATCCAGGACAGGCAAAGCCATAGAGATAGAAAGGAGATTGGGGGGATGTACCAGGAGATGGGGGGAGAGGAGAATGGGAAGTAATTACTTAATGGGTTCAGGCTGTTTTATGGAGCTATGAATAAGTTTGAAACGAGAGAGAGCCGAGGGTTGCACAACATTGGGAACACTCGAAATACCTTACGGTTTAAAACTGTGTACTTTAAAATGGCTAATTATATGTTACGTGAATTTCAACCCCACACAAAATGAATGTAGAAAGACAAGCTATAATTACATGCCTATATATCACGTTTCATACTCCATAAATCATTTTCACCTCCTTTCACCCATTAATCCTCTCTATCCCAATTGCCCAATATAAGATGGAGAAACAGAGGTCCAAGAGGAGCCGTGCCTTTCTCAGGCTCCATGGGCTGTGTGTGTTTGGGCCCCGAGCAGCGAGTTCCCCAGGTGTGGCCCTGTGGAGGCCCCAGTGGGGAATGCGATCCACAGCTTGGGGCCAGGCTTGTCTGTCCTGACTCACAGCCCCACCCTCCCAACTAGAGCCCCCCATCTGACTCCTCCAGCAGGGGAGGTAGTGGATGTCCTGCCCGACCTGAGGGAAGGGAGGGGAGAGGAGAGGAGGGGCAGAGGCCTGAGCATCTACTATGCGCTGAGGCCACACTGGGGGCTTCACTCCCTATTCTACTTGGGGTCTCACAACCACGAAGGACAGTACTCAGGAAACTGGGACTCTTAGGAGTAGGGGGGAAGTAGGAGGAGTTAGGAGAGAATGAGGAGAAGGGGAAAGAAAAACAGCATATGAAAATGGCAGGAGAGAACAAACCCTCATGAGCACCTACCCACATCATCTGGAGCCTTCACAACCACCCCATTTTCCAGAGCAGAAACTGAGGCCCTGTGAGGTTAGATGAATTTCTCGGTCACACAGCAAGTATGGCTCCAGCCAGGATCAGAGCCCAGCCTGCCTAAGTCCTAGCCCAGGACCCTTCCCACAACTTGGTGCCCATCCCTTGGAAAAGTCACCCTTCCCAAGGTCTAGGTCCCCCTTTGTGCAGTGGCGTGGGCATCCCCTCACAAATGCAGTAATGGTGGGGAGAGCATAGCTGGGAAGGGAAGAATGGGAGCCCTTCCTCTTTCATGGCTCCAGGGTGGCAGCCTTGATGGTGGTTTCTAGACATGGGTTTGCAGAGGCCCAAGCTGGGGCCAGAGATCTAAAATTCCTGGAGCTCTTTCATTCCTCCCTCCTCTCTCAAATGCCCCTGATGTCTCTGGAGGTGCCCAGTTACATGCAAGGCCACACTGCAGATCCAGACTCCTATGAGGGGGACAGGGCTGAATGCAGACACACTCAGCCTTAGAGGGTTAGGACTGAGAATGGAAAAGCCCAGAGGAGAAAGCTATGATCCGTCTGGAGGGTCACCCCCAGGTCTTCCTGGAGAAGGGGTCATTGGATCTGGGTGTTGAAGGTTGAACAAGAGCTTGCCAAGCACACCTGGGAGTCCTACACCTTGGGAGAGGTGTGGACTGTAGAAGGGAGAACCAATCCTTCCGCATCTCTTCTTCCACCAACCAGGGGCAGCCCAGGTGAAGCTGGAAGAGCTGCAGTGGGAACGTCAGAAGGCAAATGATGGGCTGCCATGGCTTAGAATTAATCAGCAACCACTTAACAAAATCCTGGGCCAACAATTGTCTATCCAAACATGTTTGGATCTGACTTCCAGATGGGTAGACATCCTCTCAAATTTCCCAGGACTCTTAGATATTGTCCACCTTTTCCCATGCTATTCCCACTACTTGTATTACTGTGGCTGCTTTGGTGAACTCCTATTCATCCTTCAAATCCCTACTCAAATGGCCCTTCCCCTGGATAGCCTACGTGCCTAGAAGCCCAGGTGAGCTCTGAGAGTTAAGGGGTTACCCATCATTCGAAGGCCCAGCCCACGTACCTGAGGCACCCACTAGGGGCTTGATGTAGTCAGGGTGCACCAAAACCAACAGTGGCAGGATGGGTCCAATCCACACCAGAATCACATGGTGCATGTTGTCCAGCACCTTCTTCTCATCTTGGAGGCCCGTCTCATTTGGAAGATACTGCAGGAGGTGGTAGGGAAAGATAGTGAGGAGGAGCCCAGCCCCACCTTCCCCAACCTTTCCCTCCCGCCACCTCCCCCGTCCTCCAAACGAGCCCAGGAGAGCTGTAGGATTGGCTGTATGAGGGTTGCACCTTGGTGAGCCTCCATTCCCTCATCTGAGAAGTGGGGAAGAATCGACTCTCTGCTTGAGGGTGGTTGAGAAAATTCATGAATGAACAAAACAAGAGAGCCCAGCACAAGGGCCTGACACACAGCCGGTGTTCAAGAAATAAAAAACGGGGGGCGCCTAGGTGGCTCAGTGGTTCAGCGTCTGCCTTCAGTGCAGGTCATGATCCCGGGGTCCTGGGATCGAGCCCCGCATCGGGCTCCCTGCTCGGCGGGAAGCCTGCTTCTCCCTCTCCCACTCCCCCTGCTTGTGTTCCCTCTCTCACTGTGTCTCTCTCTCTGTCAAATAAATAAAATCTTAAAAAAAAGAAAAAAAGAAAAAGAAATTAAAAACGGTAACAGCACAATCATGATTGGCATTTATTGAGTACTTGCTCTGTCAGGAATAAACTACTCGTATTGTCACTTTTAACACGTACATGGGCTTGCAGTCTTAGGCACTGCTGGGGGCATTTTTCATATACTCATACCTTCAACCCACACAACTATTCTGTGACTTCGTTGCTCCTATTTTCCCCATTTTACTTTGCTCAGAAAGGTCAAATGACTTGTCTGAAGCTACAGGTGAATAAGTGATTGTCTTGGTTTGGGCTTCCCCAGAAGCAGGTCTTGAGACAAGGGTTCTAGGGCAAGTGGTTCGTTTGAAGGTGGATCCCCAAAAACATGGGCAGGGGACTAAGGAAAGTGAGACAGGGAGGGAAGGCAGCCAGCAAAGGGGGAGTTGCCAAGGGTGTTATGGCCATGGGCAACTCAGTGCTGTCTTCCTGGGGACCTCTGGGTGACACGTGTATCAAAGTCAACCCAGCAGAGGAAGAGTGAGCTGAGGTGTTTATACATCAACTCCTACAGTCCCACAGTCACTGGCTGAGGGTCACACCTGGGGCATTAAGTCTGAAGCTCACAGTGCACAGGGCCAGAGAAAGCCCTAGAATTCTGGTGCTGGCAGCTGGAGGTCAGGCCATCACATCCAGAAATGGGCAAAAGGATCCGGGCAGACACTGGAGTCATCTGCCACAGTGGCAAAGCCAGGATTTGAACACAGGCCACCCAGCTCCAAAATGCCTGCTCTTAACAAACACAAGGCAGAAGTACTTCAGGATCAGAGTTCAAATCTGTTCTCGGCAGCTGTGTGACCTTGGGCAAGTCACTTAACCTCTCTGAGCTCCAAAGATCAAATCCATAATATTGGGAAGATCCATCCCTATTCCACAGCCTGTGAGAATTAAGGGAGAGGGACCTAACCCCTTGCCTGGCCAATTGCAAGGCCCAGCAACTGCCGATCAAATGAATAAATGAATGAGTGAACAAGCCAATAAATGACTTCTTTCTGGCTCCTGTGTCTCCTTCTCAGTCAGGTTCAGCCCTGAGCCTGTCCACACCCAAGAGAAACCATGGCCTCACCCAGAACTCATGGCCCCAGGAGGCATGCTGGGTCCACAGGGTCAAGGTTGGACTTTAGAACCGGCCCTGGCCAACTGTCTGGGACATCAGAGCCTGGCTACTACCTCTAGAACCACCAGTAAAGCCAGATGGCTTCTCAGAGTAAGAGTACTGGATATGCGGAATGACAAATGAGTAGAAGTTCATCTAACTGAGAAGGATATTTAGGGCAGGGGGCACAATTCCAGCAAAGGTCATGGAGGTGGGAAGTCAGAGCCTGGTTATAGGAACAGGAAGTCATTCTGCAGGACTAGACGTGAGTAGGGTGGGAGTTAGAGTCTAAAGGGGCTTGAACACTACCTGAGGAGCTGAGACTTTCTCCAGACAGCAGTGGGGAGCCATGTAAGGTGTGTGAGTAGAGGAGGGATGTGGTTGGTTTCAGGAATCCTCCTGGGGCGAGGATGGGGGATAGACTGGAGGCAGGAGCCCAGGAAGGAGGCTGGACCATGGTCCAGCAGGAGAGGATGAGGCCCAAGCAAAGGTAGGAGGTGAAACGGAGGGAGGAGATTCAGGCACAAACGGGCAAAACTTAGTGAATGCTGGCCCCAGGGGAGTCATTCCTAAAGCCACATAAAATGTTCTTTGAGGGCGCCTGGGTGGCTCAGATGGTTAAGCGTCTGCCTTTGGCTCAGGTCATGATCCCAGGGTCCTGGGATCGAGTCCCACATCGGGCTCCCGGCTCAGCGGGGAGCCTGCTTCTCCCTCTGACCCTCTCCCCTCTCATGCTGTTTCTCTCTCGCTCGCTCTCTAAAAAATAAATAAAATCTTTAAAAAAAAAAATGTTCTTTGAGCAATTGACTGGAAATGTGTCTCCTGCTTCCTTCTTCTGGGATGCTCACTCCAAGTAGAATCCAAAATATTTCTAGAATCCCCTGATACTTCCAGGCTCTGCAGGACCCAGGAGTTGAGCACATCCACCACTGCATGGCAGGCTCAGTGCCAAGCATGCCACAGACATGACTTTAAGAACTGTCAATACAATCTCACGAGGTTATTAGGAACAATCATAATCCCCACATTGCAGATGGGGAAACTGAGGCACGGGTAGGTGAAGTCATTGCTCAAGGTCACATGGCAGGAGAGGGTAAAGATGGGCATCAGGCACACACTGATGACCACTGCCCTTGAACTGCTCTCCGAAGTCCACGTCTGCACTCGGCATAAGGCCTGAACCAGGAAGGTCTCCACAACTGTCCCTCAGTTTCCTTTAGGCCTGCAAGGGGGACCAGATGAGTGCCACAGGCAGTTAGGAGCTGGACTGTAGGACCTAAAAGCCTCAGTGCTCTCAGGAGTCTGGCCTTCTTCTGACCTCTGAAACTCTTTTTTGAAAAAGTGCAGGTTTTGTCATCCAGAAACAAGAGGCAGCAGAGGATACAGAGCTAAGAGCAGGGACTCTGGAGCCAGATGGCCTGGGTTTGAACCCCAACTATGCCACTGGCGAGCTGTGTGACCTAGGGCCAGCTACTTAACCTCTCTGTGCCATAATAGTCTCAGGAGCAAAATGGGGGTAGTCATGGGAACTCCTCCTAGGATTGTCAAGAGGACTGAGTTAATATTTTAAAGCACCTGATCTAATGCTTAGCACCTGTATGTGAAGTAAGAAATGAAAGGCAAGGTACCAGAATGAGAGAGAGGGTGCAAACACAGTAGGGGTGGGGCAGAGCAACAACATCCACAGGAGTCCCCCACCCCCACCCCCACCCCACCCGGGGATCACAGAACCTGACGACTTTCACAGGCACTAGCACCTGTTGCTTCGGCAACAGCCTGAAATTACAGAGAAAACCTTAGAGTCAGCTCTGCCTCATCCCGGCTGTGTGACCTCAGGTCAACTGCTTGCCCTCTGTGAGCCTCAATCACACCCCTATCCTGTAAAATGGGTCTGTTCATGGCTCCAGCCGGATTCCTGGGGGATGGCGGAAGCAGTCAGGCCCATCATCCTTACTGAATACCTGGGACCTGCCTAGCCACACACGCACCATGCCGAGGTGGCCCAGCAGCCAGCTGCGCCGGGGTGGCTGGGGGAAGCAGCTCAGGCGGCGGCAGGTGACGTAGAAGCGCCAGCAGAGCCTCAGGAACTGCATCACCAGGCGGAAGAGGAAGAAGAGCAGGGAGAGGAGGAAGCCAGTCAGGGCATACAGGCGGAACGAGGTCTTCTCCACTCCCAGGAGGTGCAGTAGGTGTTCTGCGATGGGCAGCATCCTGGGAGGACACACGGGATGGGGGGGTCAGTACACGTAGGAACCACCCTCTGGCCATGTGTGCACCAGACACAGGATGGCCTGTGGAGTCAAGCAGCATGTACCTGGCACACAGTAGGTGCTCAATACACAGGAGTCCCGGACCCCAAGGAAACCCCTCAACCTTCCCCCCAGCAATGACCTTCAGCTGGCTGGCCAGATGGATGCACCAGTGCCCTGTCCACATGCCCTCAGCCTTGACTTTGCAGGGCATCCCTCCTGACTTCTCTGCCCATGCGTGGATGGCCAGAGTGTTGGAAAATTTAAACACACACAAACATTGAAAGCAGCTCTTAACCAATGACTGATAAATATTGCTGGATAGATACCTTCTCCCCTGGGGTGCCATGACCCTGAGATGTGGGTTCCACATGCGCCACCAGGCTTCCCCAGTGGGGTTAAACTCCAGCTGCCCACCGTCGAAACTTTCTCTATTAGCTGCCTCCCTTCCCCTGTCTCCCCTCTTTTTCTTCTTTATTTAATTCAGGTGAGATTCACCCAACATAAAACGAACCATTTGAAAGTACAGTTTACCCTTGAACAATGAAGGAGTTAGAGGTGCCAACCCCCCCCCATGCAGTCAGAATTCCATATATAAGTTTTGACTCCCCAAAATCTTTTTTTTTTATTTTTTTTAAAGATTTTTTTTTTATTTTTATTTATTTGAGACAGAGAGAATGAGAGACAGAGAGCATGAGAGGGAGGAGGGTCAGAGGGAGAAGCAGACTCCCTGCCGAGCAGGGAGCCCGATGCGGGACTCGATCCCGGGACTCCAGGATCATGACCCGAGCCAAAGGCAGTCGCTCAACCAACTGAGCCACCCAGGCGCCCGACTCCCCAAAATCTTAACTACTAATAGCCTACTATTGACTGGAAAGCCTTACTGATAACATAAAGTCAATTAACAAATACTTTGTATGTTACATGTATTATATACTGCATTCTTACAGTAAAGTCAGCTGGAGAAAAGAAAATATTGAAAAAATCATAAGAAAGAGAAAATCCATTTACGGGGCTGCACTGTAAAAATTCTGCATATAAGTGGACCCATGCAGTTCGAACCCATGTTGTTCAAAGGTCAACTGTGTGCAATTCAGTAGCATCTAGCACATCCACAGTGTCGTGCCACCACCACCTCCATCGAGCTCTAAATTTTTTCCTTGCCCCGAAAGGAAATCCCATCCCAATTAGCAGTCATTCCCCACTCCCCTATACCTTCAACCCCTGGCAACCACTCATTTGCTTGCTTGCTTGCTTTCTCTCTCTTTCTTTCAAGTAGGCTCCATGCCCAGCTCAGAGCCCAATGTGGGGCTTGAACTCATGACTCTGAGATCAAGACCTGAACTGAGACCAAGAGTCGGATGCTTAACCGACTGAGCCACCCAGGCACCCCTAATCAGCTTTCTGCCTCTATGGATATTTTATTTCATATCAATATGATCATATATTATATGACCTTTTGTGTCCAGCTTCTTTCACCCAGCATGATGTGTTCAAGGTTCATCCTCATCATAGTGTGTATCAGAACTTCATTTCTTGTGCTCCTGTGTAATATTCCATTGTAAGGATGTATCACAATTTGTTTATCCATTGATCTGTTAATGAACATCTGAGCTGCTCCCGCCTCTGCCTATTGTGAAATGTGCAGCTATGAACATGCATGTACAGGTACATGTTAGAGTCCCTGTTTCCAATTCTTTGGGGTTCACTTCCTTTTTCCTTACTGGTATGTTCTGGGATCACTTCCCAAATAAGCTTCTTGCACTCAAATCCTTGCCCAGGGGTCAGCTCTTGAAGGAACCCAAATAAAGTGGGTAGGTAACAACAATATTAATAACACAGTGACCAGGTATGGAGCATTACGATGTGCTGTGAGCCACACTCAGGGATGTGCATGCCTCATTTTATGGAATCTTAAAGTGGTCCTTGGACTTAGGTCTTACATTCTGTCCATTTTCTGGACAACCGAATCTCAGTTCCTCCAACTCAAGGGAGATGGGAGCTGGCAGAGACCCCCTGAACTCCACCAACGGCCAAACTCCATCACTCTGGGGGCTCACAGATCTCAGACGATGCCAAGGAGAGTCCTGAAAATGGATGGGTCCTGTCTTCATCTCTCCTTTCCACCTAGTCCAACCAGCCAATGGTTCCCTCTGTGCCCCACCCCCTGGAACAACATAGCTAAATGAACCCTGCCCTCCAGGTCCTCGCCTGAGTCCCCAGTCCCCACCCACCCCTGCCCACGGTTCCCTCCATTAGGGGCTCAGACTCACTGGCTCCCAGTGCCCAACTACATCCTCCATACAGAAGATATGAAGTTTCTATGGGTTACCACATCTTGGGAAAACAGCTGGGTGGCTTATCACCAAATTTGGAGAGCCCCATTGGGATGGTCTGACTTACATTATAAGTCATACAGATGACATGACCACTCATTAGGATGGCTCCTTATCATGAAAGGAAATAACAAGAGTTGGCAAGCATGCAGAGAAATCTTGAACCCTTATGCGTTGCTCGTGGAAATGTAAAATGGTGCCATTTTGCTGTGGAAAACAGTATGGTGGTTCCTCAAAATATTAAACACAGAATCACAGTATGATCCAGCAGTCCCACTTCTGGGTAGATCCCCCAAAGAAGTGAAAGCAGGGACCCAAACAGATATTTGCACACCCATGTTCATAGCAGCATTAATCACAATAGCCAAAAGGTGGAAACAAGCCAAGTGCCCATCAACAGATGAACACAGAAACATCATGTGGTCCAACCATACAGGGGAATATTATTCAGCCCTAAAAAGGAAATTCTGATACCCGGTACAACATGGATGAACCTCGAGGACATTATGTTAAGTGAAATAAGAGACACAAAAAACAAATGCTATGTGAGCCCACTTATAAGAGGTCCCTAGAGGAGTCAGATTCAGAAACAGGAAGTAGATGGTGGGCACGAGGGGCTGGGGAGGGGGACAGGGTGGGAGAGTTAGTGTTTAACAGGGACAGAGTTTTAATTGAAGAAGATGAAAAAGTTCTGCAGATGGATGGTGGTGACGGCTGCACAACAGTGTGAATGTATTTAGTACCACTGAACTGCACGCTTAAAATGGTTAAGATGATAAATGTTATGTGTATTTTGCCACAATTAAAAATCTTTTTTCAAATTTTTTAAAAGATTTATTTATTTACTGGGTGGGAGGGGCACAGGGAGAGGGGCGAGAGAATCCCAAGCAGACTCTGCCCTGAGCGTGGAGCCCAATGCGGGGGCCCGATCCCATAACCCTGAGGTCATGACCTGAACTGACACCAAGAGTTGGCCACTTAACTGACTGAGCCACCCAGGCACCCCAAAAAATCTTTTTAAAAAGACAGACTGCCTGGTAGACGATATGCCCTCTGGAAGGCCCGGTTAGGGGTGGGGGTGGGGAGCAGATAACCTCCCAAAATGAATCACAGAGACCTCCAAGTCACAAGTCCCAGGCAGAAGGTTCTGAGCAGCTCCAGGTGACATGCTCTCCAGGGAGCAGCTGTGGATATTTGTTTCTTTACCAATTTAATAGTGGGTAATGATTCTCCCCCAGCAATGCCAAGGAAGGCAGCTAGTGATTATGATTCAGAATTGTGACCTTCCTCTAAATACTCTCACCTGCATTTCTTCGTCATTCAGTTGGCAAATCGTGTTTGAACCCCTCCTATGTGTGTGACTCTGTTCTGGGCATGGGGATGTAATGGCGAGCAGGACACACATGGTCCCAGCCCTTAAGACAGGTGGCCACCAAGAGACATGATAGAACACCATGTAAACACTACATGTCTTGATGGAGGTAAAGCAGGGATGGGGGAGGCTGAATATGGGCCCCCCCAAAGGTATCAGTTCTCTGGAACCTGAGAATGAGACCTTCTATGGCAAAGTCTTTGCAGATGGGACTAAGTTAAGGGTCTAGAGTAGCCTGGGTTGTCTAGGTTGGTCCCAGCTGGAATCTCAGTTGTCCTTATAAGACAGAGGCAGAGGGATGGGGGCACCTGGGTGGCTCAGTTGGTTAAGCATCCAACTCTTGATTTTCGCTCAGGTCCTGATCTCAGGGTCAGACTCTGCTCCAAGCAGAAAGAGCACACACTATAGATCCCCAACTGGTTGTCACCCTGACAGCCTCCATCTTCTCATCTACAAAATGGTAACAAGGCAAGAAGTCCATCTGATGCTCATGGGAGGAGCTCAATAAGTTGGGGACCTTAAGTCCTCTACTTTCTGTAGCTGGTTTCCTCTTGACCCCCTCCAAACAAGAGCATTCTTGCCAAGCCCCCCCAAAAAACTGTTACAAAAAGTTTTGAGGTGGTGCAGCCGCTTTGAGAAGTAGGTTGGCAGTTCCTCAAAAAGTTAAACATAGAATTGGCAGTTCCAAGGGCTGCTTGGGTGGCTCAGTCGGTTAAGCATCTGTCTTCGGCTCAGGTCATGATGTTGGAGTCCTGGGATCAAGCCCCATATCAGGCTCCCTGCTCATGCGGAGTCTACTTCTCCCTCTCCCTCTGCCCCTCCACCCCTGCTGGTGCTCTCTCTCTCTCTCAAATAAATAAAACTTAAAAAAAAAAAAGAATTGGCAGTTCCTCTCCTAGGTATACAGTCAAAAGAATGGAAAACATACTCTGATACTTGTATATGAATATGAATAGCTGCACTATTCAGAATAGCCAAAAGGTGGAACAATGCAGAGGTCCATCAACAAATGAATGGATGAGTATCATGTGGTATATTTGTGCAATGGAATATTACTCAGCCATGAAAAGGAATGAGGTCCTGATATATGATACAACATAAATGAACCTCATAAACATTATGCTGAGCGAAAGAAGCCAGATACAAAAGGCTTATAGTGTCTGATCCCATTTATATGAAATGTCCAGAACAGGCAAATCCAGAGAGACAGCAAGCAGACTGGTGGTTGCCAGGGGCTGGTGGGGGGTGGGGGGA